ATTGGTTGTTCAAAACATTACAAAGCTCTTGACATATCATATTTCATACATTAGATTCAAGTGGGTTATGAACTCCCATTTTTACCCCCAATACTCGTGTCTACTGTATAGAATGTCTCCCATCCAGCTGCTATCTTTCCTGTACTCACCCACATTTTTCTCTATTCCTCTGCCCCCAAATTCACAGATATTGGGAATCCGTTTATTCAGCAGCCCACCAGGGAGGTTCTCTGACATGCAGATTTAATGAGAATGCTTTGAAATCCAGCACAAATATGAATGTTATTCAAATACGTACATAGTCTGGGGAGGGGAGCTGGCAGGGCAGACTTGCAAGCAAATGATAACATTAGTACAATGAGAAGGGCTCTGGGAGGAGCTTCTAAGACTAAGGCCCAGGAGCAAGTGCTATTCTGCTGTCTCTTCAGGAGTACTGTTATTCTGGGGGAAAAGAACAAGTAGAAAGGACCAGGAATATCCAGAGAATAGAAAGAAGTTCCTTGTGACTAGACCAGAACTTGGGGTGAAGAAAGAGAAGAGGTATACTGGGAGATGCATGGGTTTGGTTGGATTCAGAAGGGCATTTTTGTTCCTTATAAGTCTGAGATCCTTAGTAGAGTATATATGTATATATCCAAAAGACCCCCTTATCATTGGGGGACACAGTCTAACATCCACAATGGATGCCTGAAACTCTGGATGGTACCAAATCTTACACATAATAGGTTTTTTCCCTATACTTACATAGCTATGATCAAGTTTACTTAATAAATTAGGCACAGTAAAATATTAACAGTAATAATGAAAAATAAAATAGAACAATTATAATGAAAAGTATTGCTAATCTTGGGCTTTGAGGACATTAAGTAATACAAGGGTTTCTTGTACACAGTACTGCAATACCATGCCAGTTGACCTGATATCAAGATAACTACTAGCCATCTGCAGTGGCACACACCTGTAGTCCCTACAATTTAGCTTAGATAGGAAGACCACAAGTTGACAGCCAGGCTTGGCAACTTAGTGAGACTCTGTCTCAAAATAAAAAAATAAAAAGGGCTGGGGACGTAGCATCCCTGGGTTCAATCTCCAGCACTGGAAAAAAGAGAGACAGCTACTAAGTGATTAACAGGCAGGAACTTTACACAGTGTGGAGATGTTGGACAAAGGGATGATTCATGTCTCAGGTGGGATAGAAGAGCTGGACATTGAGAAATTTCATCAACTCAAAATGCTGTGAAACTTAAAACATGAATTGTGTATTTCTGGAAACTTCTATTTAATATTTTTACCATATTGAACATGGATAACTAAAAACTACAGGAAGTGAAACTGAGGATAAGGGTGGGACTGCTGTATTAGGATATGTGAGTATTTATGTGTGTCTCAGATTGGTACAGGGCAAAACAGGCTGTTTCTACATACTGGAGAACTAACAAATATAAGAGGAAAAGATCAAAATATAGTAATTTCACTTAATGGAAGTGCTCATATGTATTCTTTTTATTATACCACACAAGGGACATTATAGCCATTATTCTATGTGACAAGACTGTTTTATTTGATTACACTCTGAATTTTCTTCTTGAACTCTGTCTCCCTTAACTTTTTTCTGTCTCCATTTACTGTATTAATGGTCATCTGTCCAAAACCTCAAAAATTAGAAGAAAATTTGACCTGAAATGTTTATATTAGCTGAGTTTGTGAACTGCAGATCTTGCAGCAGTGAAAATCTCCTTTTTTCCTTATGGTATCTTAACTTCATTCAGCCAATCCGATGTACTGGGTAATGACTTACCTTGGTGACATCTGCAAAAGTTTTTTCTAGAGAAGTTTTCCCTCTTATTTTAGGAAAACAGTGAGACCCAGCCAAAAGTCCTGTGACAACGCTTCCCAGCTGCCTCCGCTGGGCGCTGACTCCAACTTCCCTTACTAGGGTGTCCCCTGGCATCTTGGCCCTGCCCATTCCCGGCACAAAGTCGCGAACTACGACTCCCAGCTGCCTTTACAGGCTGGACCCTTACATAGAAGGCTTCCCGGCAGCCTCGAGGTGAAGAGCTCCGCCCCTTAGAGCGGCTCCTCAGGTCTGCGCGGAGCCTTCCGTCCGCCTCCGCCTCTGTCACGTGATTCATACCCGCCAACCGGTGCGCGGAGGAGGGCGGCAGGCGGTGGCCAGGGGCGGGGAGGCCACGGGGGCGGGGCGGGTGGCGGAGGGGGCGGAGCAGGGCCCTGGAGCTGAGCAGCCTGGCAACGGCGGTGGCGCCGGGAGCCCAAGGTGGGTGCGCGCTCACGGCTGGCCTGGCTGTGAGCCGGCCGCTGCGGGGACCTGTGATGGGGAGACTGGCAGCGGGAAGTTGGGACTCCACGGGCCGCCGGGTCGCGCGGGGCGTCAGCGCACCCGTTGGGGTGGGGGTGGGGTTCACCCGAGCTTCTTCGCTGTCCCCGCGGGGCAGGGCTGAGGCCGGGAAGCAGAAGACAGGTGCTTGTGTTTTCCCCCAGTTCTTCGGCTCACGGCGGGCGAAGGTCGGGACGGGAATTGGGGCTGCAACGCCGGGAGGCGGGGAGCATATGTCGTAGGTGCTGCCTGTACTTTGCTTCCCTGTCCCGGGGAGGCGAGCGGGCCGGGCGGCTGCCCTGCCTCCTCGGCGACGCGCTGCGGCTGGTCCTCGCCCTAGCCTTCTGCGTGGGGTGGGCACCCGCCGCATCCCCCGTGGGCTCTGCGGAGTGGACTCAGCCTGACACTGGATGAGAAACCATAATCGTCGCTCTGGTCCAGTGTTTCTGTGTATGCACGGGAGATTTATCTGCTTTTGCTACAGTTGAGGGAAGGTCTGAGAAGGAACGGTTAGTTCCCTGATACGCAGTCGGAAGTATGCACAGGCACGAGCAAGCGCCCTCGGTCGGGGTGCCTTTTGCTGCGCTCAGGAAGTGAAAAAATTAGTATTATAAAGTGAATCTGTTGCACAAAATTATATTATGAACTTTATGGATGGATACAACATATCAGACGAAGTGGGTTGTGACTAGTTTTTAAGACAGATCTTTGCAAGAGCGGAATTGTAGCATTTTACAATTGACTAAGACCTCGAAGTTCACATAATTTGTTTCCTGGATGGGAGAACTGAGTCCCAGAGAGGCTAACTAATATAGATAGCAAAACTAGTATCACAAGCTAGGTATCAGGGAGAATATTATATGTCTAATCTGGGTTCTTTGTACTACATCTCCATGTTATTAAGATAGAAGTCTCTATCTTATAGTCGTGAGACTGAGCCAGAAGTTTTACTGTGGTTCAGACCATTTTGGATTTCCTTCAAAACCAGTTTACTAGCTAGCTGAGATGATCGGGCTTGTACTTTAGACACCTTTTGCTTTCATCCAGGATATCTATTGGGCAAATCAGGTATTCATCACATTTGACTGAATGACTTCTGGCTATTTAACAAAATCAAACCTTAAAGAGATTCCACACCATGGAGAATAATTCAAAGTGGTGGTGCTCCTGATGTGCTTGAAGGTGAATACCTTCATTCGGGCATATAGAAGCTACTATGGTTATTAAATGACCTGTCTCCTTACCTTAAACTTCTAACTTATATTTATTAAATTGTTAGTGGTTTCATTCATTAAATAAAGTTCACACAGTGTCCTAAGGACAGCGCACTACTGAGGAGGCCTTCTGGAATTTATGTGTGGGGATTCAGACAATTAAAAAAAATAAGCAATGATATTTTCCAGCAGAGCTGAATGTTGAAAAAATGAACTCTAAATCTCTACAATGACAGTAAAACAAACAGGCATGATCGAGAGTGAGTTGGACATCACTTTGAACTGCTAGTTTTAGATTGTCAGCTGCTGCGCCACTAAAGCAAACAAATCCAAAAGCAAATCTGTCTGAATCCAACAGATTCTGTGGAGTCATCATTTTTCCCAAGAGTGCCTCTTAGATAACTTTATCACAACCTTGCTTTTTTCCTCTTTACATGCAACAGTGTTTCCATACACCTGGAAAGGTGGTTTTCAAATCCCCGTTTCTGTAGATAGCTGACTCTAACTACAGAAGGCTCTGCTGGATTCTCAGGCCACCTTATACCATGGTTCCTCTTCCTGCATGCTGGTTTGTACTGTGAACCTGTTATCTGAAATAATTCTCAATCTTTGTATTGTGTGATTTGTAAAGACAAACCAGTTCATTTTGAACTAGCTCCAGAGTAAAGAAGCACTCAAGTTCTTAGTAACAAGAACACTCACTAATAAAATGGCATTAGTGAGAACTCACTGTAAAAATTCATCTGTTTGGTACCACTCAGTCCTCCCAAATTCTGTATGTTCAGTATCTTCAAAGCAAATTTTTTAAATTTACGTATTCTGAAAATGAATAAAGTTACAAAAAATACTCCAGTAGTCTTCCTCCAAAATGAGAAAAGGATTAACAAAATGTACTTACTTTAGAAACCACTGAAAACACACAGCTCTTGGTCTTATTGAAGGCTCCAAAATAAAGAGAAAAGCAGAGACTCTTCAAAGCTCAGTAGGTGACATTCTTAACCAGTGGCCAGAGGATTACAAAGATTTGAGTTTCTATTTATTTCTAAAGTTTATTCAATTTTATAACAGAATAATAGGTTGTTTTCGTCATTTAGTAATTTCCCTTCCCTCTTTCTGACCCCTTCAGAGTTCTGCTTTCTTTATTTTCTAGTTTCTCAGTTCATTTATTCATTTTTTTGGCAGATGGGGGGCATTATTGCTCTGGATTAGGTGGTCTCCACAGATTTGAATCCTGGCTTTATTATTACTTATGTGACCCTGGGCAAGGGACTTGCCTCTGTCCCTGGGGTTCCTTATATGTAAAATGAAAATAATGATAGTACCTTCTCAAAGGGATGTTGGGAGGACTGAGTAGATATTGTGTGTGTGTGTGTGTGTGTATGTGTGTGTGTGTGTGTGTGTAATGCTTAGGACAGTTTTGTACATAGAGGCACTCAAGAAAATTTAGCTGTTATTAAATTGAACTATTTGGACCTCTTATTTTCGAGAAAAAAAATGTTCCTAGCCATGTCCTAATAAAATTTTAGAAATCCAGTAAGCTGGATATTCTAGACATTTCTTTTGCATTTCATTGTTGATACGAGATTTTAATTTCAGATGGCATTGTTAGCAGTGTCTTCTGTTATTGCATAGCTTAATTTCCTTTACTAGTTGGATTTAAAAATTCCTTGCTTACTTGGGGCCAAATTTTTTTTTTGTTGTTGTTTTGTTTTTTTCGTTACCACAAACAACAGCCATAGAAAAAGAATGCCTCCTTGTGATCCTTCTCTTGTAGCTGGAGGACGAGCTTTCATTGGAAATGTTTGCTGTGTGTTTTTTTCATAGCCAGTACCTTGACAATTATTCTTTTTATGAATTTGAAGCATCTCTTTAGAAAATTGGCATCATGTACAAGTGCTTTCTTCCTATTTCTAACAGGAACAAGTGGTAAACGAACATGTTGTCCATGTGATGTGATAGGAAACTTCCTGCATTTGGATTCCAGAAGCTGGTTTCAAGTCTCATTTCTCTGCTTTAACTCTGTGACACTGGACAAGTCATTTTAGCTCACTGTTGATGGCTTTTACATTTGTTAGACAGAGCTAATAACACCCAAGCTTTCAGAGTTCTTCAGAGAATCAGATGTGCATCAGAGCTTTCTGTAAGCTGTACACCATTATCGTGATTGCACTATAATGTTATACAAGTCATAGTTGTTTGGAGAACTGGTTGTGACGGCAACCATCATTCCTGTTCTTAGCTCATCTTCTCCTTAACCATAGGTGTGGCCTCTCTGCCTCAGTCTCTCACAGCTGTCAGCATTAAAATATGCAAATGTTTTAGTGCCTAGTGAAAATGGCCTGAAGCCATTTGTTTACCTTATGAGTTTTCATTTTATTTTTTTCCTAAAAGGTAGTACTGTATAACCAACAATTACAGGGTGATAGCAAGGTGATTCCTGCATTAGGGAATTTTACCTGCCCCTTTCCCAAGTGTCTCAGAATGGAAGTCTTACCTTTTTCTGATCAAGACCCAACCTTGGCTCTTCAGTCAGCTTCAGGCCCTGTGCATTCCTCAGTCCATAATAGACTGGATTCTTGTGCTCCTAGGTTAGGATGAAAAGTGATCCGGGCCCTGGAGAAGAGATCCAGAGACTTGATTGCTCATCAGGTCAGTACCTCAGGCCTGGGCCTGAATGCCCTTGAATTCATTTCTCAGTATCTTGAAAGGACTCCTAACTTTGCAATTCCACATACTTACACTAGTTTTATATGATTGGTCCTTGATTCTTTTTCTTTATAGGCAACTCCTACATATTTCAGTATTAATTTTTTTCATCTTCCAAACTTGTAATAAAGAGGTCTGAGGTCAGAGACATTTTTCTGGGTGTGTGAAACCGAACATGGCCCAGTGCACACAGTAAACAGTAAACATTCATTGACTTGCACTGGATGGGGGGGGGCACAGCATTGTTTGGACATGTTCACTTTAATCCTTCTGAAGATTGTGCTCCTTGTCTGTGAGATGAAATGGAGCTTGTACTTAGCCTTTCTCTCCATGGGCAAATAAAAAATGGATAAGAAGGTTCTTAGAATCCAGTGATGGGACAGATCTCTCACATTGGCTTAACACCCCTTTCCTCCCAGCTTTTTAATCTTTGCACTGTGTCATCATGAACGCTTTGAGTATAGGTTTTTGCTTTGCTTGCTGTTATGTTTGGGATGGGGGGGGGTAGAGGAGGAAGTCAAAGATTAAGAATTGAAAGGAAGAACAAAATGAACTTTTTTGTAATACATTCAGCTCTTCAGCCCTGTACAAATCTTGACAATACACAGTGGTGCCTTTTCTGTAGCATGTGGTAATTGTTATATTTTGGTATCATGTCCTTGGACTTTCTGTGAGAAGAAATCAATCCATTTTCTGAGCCTGTTAACATGGAATAGGCTGCAACATCAGGTCAGTGTCATCCTTTCCCCTCCATGGGAGCTACTGAGGCAGAGGTAGGTTTTAAAGGACATTCTTAGCATTGGGTGGTGGTGCTTTAAATTCCTTTATAGCTCTGAGATTACTCAGGTGAGGATGCAGGAGAATGGGGACTGCCCTTACTTTTAGCAGGCCTGGAATTGGCCTTAGCTGTTTAACTGCGATAATAAATATACCTGTATGGCAGTGACCCAGGCTACGGTGCAGAGGTGGTCATTACTATTGGTGGGCAACAGCAAGAAGGAAAGTTTGCTCTTGATTTCA